TGTACTTAAGTACAATAACAAAGTATTTGTACTTCAGTACTTGACACCTCTGATGCTGTCTATTAATTATACCGATAGGGAGCATGTATATAGTAAAGAGAATTGGTCCTAGCACTGATCACTGTGGTACTCCAAAGGTAACCCTGGAGCATGAGGACGATTTGTCATTAATGTGAACAAACTGAAATTGGTCAGGTAGATAAGATTTAAATCAGTCTAGCTGTTCCTCAATTCCTACAAAATATTCAAGCATTTCTTAACAGAATATTAGTGCGTAACCTCCATCTGTGGGTGGACCTAAATCTTGAAAAAAACACATTCACTCTTTGGCTTTATTACCAAAGGCAACTAAATATAAATAAACCAAATATAAATGGAAAATACATACTTCTCTGCTATTCTTCTAAGGGAATTGCCTTCGACCTGCCCCACCTACTGCTTCAGATGCCTTTGAGTAAACTTGCCAATCCAGACAAAAGAGAACAGAATGTGAGTACTGAGAATTCTGATCTAATTCTCTAGTCTAGGCATTTACATATAGTCAACAGAGAACATAATTTTTTATTTATTTATTTTTTTTGAGAGGATATGCTTTTCTGTGGTAGGATGTTGAGCTTAACTGCTTATTGCAGTGTTTCCTTTTTGCAAGATATAATATAAATCCAAGATTTCAAACGTTTTCACATTCCAGAAAATTTATGTGGAATGTCAAAGGCAAACATGAGAAACTGGTTCCACAAGTATATTTGTAAAAAGGTAGTTGTGGTTAATTACAGTCACGTTTGCATATTTGTGTTGATTTCAATTAACAAAAAAAAAGGAATGTGTGGTGTGCTGAGAAATGGGAGGAGATTTTGAAATGTCACATTTAATTTTTGGGTTAAGCTTCAAAAGTACTTTCACCTGAAGAGTATAAAATGTGGTGTGGAGTTCTCAGGTAGTACAGATGACAAGTAGGATAACTGAACTGTAGGACGCACCAACAAGATGACAATGAACACTCTGCTTTTTTTGACTCTCACCTGTATGGTCTTCAGAAATGGTAGAGTTGTTTCACTTTTTCTCTGAAAAACTGATGTTTAATTTTCTATTTAAAAACTTTTAAAAGAAAACCTATTGTAATTGCTTAGTATAGCAAGTGTAAAACAGTAAAAAAAATTAAAAGTGTGAGAGGATGATGTTTTTTTTACAAAAAAAATATTTTTACTCCTATTGCAGCTGGAGCCCTACTGTGTCTCTTCTGCCAAGATGGAAATTGTTTAAATTCAGTACCTAAGAACTGTTGCTCAGGGCAAATGTGTATGACAGCTTCTATCAAATGTAAGTTTTACATTGTTATGAAATACTTTTTTGTTTTAAATACAAATGGTTCATATTAACTGAAAAACTGCACTTGGAATTTGCAGCTACTTCATCAGGAAAAACTACAAACCAAATCTACAAGGACTGTGTTGCATCATCACTCTGTCAGAGCTCGGGCATTCAGAATTATTCAGCAAACGTGGGTTTGCAAAGCGTGATTGCATCTACTGAGTGCTGCAACACGGACAACTGTAACTCACATACTCTAGAAAGTAAGAGTCATCATATACTGAGATTAAAAGTCATTTCAATCTGCGGCTATTTGAAGCCATATCTGTTTCCTTTTTTTAGTGCCAGAATCTCAACCTGAAAACAATCTACGTTGTTTTGTTGCTGACCCTGAAGCACCTACAAAGGTCTCTACAATAGCATGTACGGGGCCAGAGACAAAATGTTTCGCAGCACAAGTTTTAACAGGTATTTGTACAAGTATTTAACAAACCTTATCCATAAGTCTACATAAAAAAAAAAAAAAACTTTCAAGAATTTTTGACTTTTTTATCAAAAGACACATGAAATGTAAAAATATTAAAGCAAAATATACCTGAAATGGATTCATAAAATCTTTAAACAATACATAAAAAAATATGTTTCAAAATAACAATAAGCTTTTATTTAAGTGCTAATTATCAAATACACATCAGTAAGGATGATATTTTATGAAATGCACTATAAATATGAAACTTTTTACATGTATTTTGTGAGTGAGTTTACTTTATTGTTTCTTTAAAATCCATAGTTACTGAAGACTCCAAAAACGTTCCACAACTGGGCTGTGTGACTCCAAATATGTGTGCAGCCAGTGACGACCTAAAAACTTTACCATTCGTGGAAAATTTAGGTTCAATTACTTGGGGACCAAGTTGCTGTGATGGTGATGAATGTAATGACTTGAATCAAATTAATCTGACTACAACAACAACAATGGCTCTAACCACCACAACTGCTGCTCCAACCACCACAACTGCTGCTCCAACAACAACTATGGCTCAAACCACAACAACTGCTGCTCCAACCACCACAACTTCTGCTCCAACTACCACAACTGCTGCTCCAAC